TGTCTAAAAAAAAAAAAAAAGGAGGAAAGAAAAGTGAAGGAAGAGAGACTTGGAGAGGGGATAAGTTAAATCCTAGGGGAAGTGAGATTTTTGCACATTTTTGTTGTTGTTGTTGTTGTGCTGGGATTAAAGGTGTGCTAATTTTGTACCTTTCTAAAGACTAGATTCGTGTGTGTATGTGTCTGTGTGTGTGGTGAATGCATAGCAGTGTCCTACTTCAAGTCTCCTACTCTGTCACTCTCTGCCTTATTCCATTGTGACAGTCTCCCAATGAACCTGAAGTTGAACTGGCTGATAGCCGAAAGCCCCATTGATTCTCCTACCTCCAGTCCCCACAGTGGTGGGGTTACAGGCACATATGTGGCCACACCTGGCTTTTTGTGCAATTACCGTGGCTCTGAACTTGGGCCCTCATGTTTGTACAACAACCACTCGTATCCATTGAGCCATCTTCCCAACCCCTGGACTACACTCTTGAGGATGGGAAAGCTAGACCCCAGGAATTGACTAAGGGTTAAGTTCTGAGCCCTACCAAAGGTACATTCCAGATACAAGTTCAAGTTAGACATTCAGGGTGACTAAGGTAGAACCAAGCAACAAATGAGCAAAGCCCTGGGAAGGAAGGCTGGATCCTAGGTCCATCCTCAGCCCAGATTCCCAGCAACATCTCACTTCATCATCACAGTCACTGGAACACCGGAGAGCCCAATGATTCCCGAGGACGTGAAGACTGTGTCATGATGTTGCACTCAGGACTGTGGAATGATGCACCATGTTCCAGTGAGAAGGATGGATGGATCTGTGAGAAAAGGAGCAGCTGTTGACCCTATCCAATGTCCCAGTGCCACATCCACTGCCTCAAGTTTTACTAAGCCACCACTACTAACAGCCACTCAGCTTGACCCAGCCCTGTCCAGTGCATGCTACGGCTACCTCAGCTCAAACTCACCAAAACCTCTTAAACCTGCAACCTAACTTGACATTTGTCAGACTCAAAGATCACTGCCATAAATCCCTGGTCATCCTATCGCCCACTTACCTTACTAGATACAATGACAAAACTGTTTTATTTTTCCTGCATCCCCCCCCCACACCCCGCAGCCACCAACCCATCCCTCTGACTGGGAGCTGTCTTCACAGACAAAAGAAATGTCAATAAATGTTTGAGAAATGAGTCTAGTCTGTTCAAAGCTCTATCCCAGATCCCTTATTGTGATCCCTTCGGGTGATTCATGACTTTTATAGATGACTCTATGATGTCAGTGGAAAACCTACCCTAGGCCAGGAGGACTTGAAGGTAGAAACAATTTCCCATCCTGCATTATTTCTTCCTTGATCCCTGCAAGGCACAGGACTTGACTCAGAGGGTGCAGAAGACATAGAATTTGGTCTTGACCAGTCTTTATCCCAGAGACTTCCTCTTTCAGGTATACGTAGACGACGCAGACACGAGGTGACCGGTGATGCAATGAAGAAGTGCGTGGAGGAGCAACACCTGAGCCATTTAGAGGGGCCACTGTCATCTTTAGGCAGAAATGTTATGCTGAGATGTTGCTGCAGCAGCTCAATGTTGTTACCTAGCAGGAGACTAACTTGGGGAGGGACTAACCATCAGAGCCTCAAAAGACAGGACATAAAGAACAATGGGTGACCCAGTTCAAGACTCCGAAACAGAGTGTAAAGGTAATGGTGGTGGTTAGACTGGTGATCAAGATAGAAAGAGAGGGGCTGGAGAGATGGTTAAGAGCACTGGCTGCTCTTGCAGGGGACCTGGGTTCAGTTTCCACATGACAACTAAAAACTGTCTATAACTCCATTTCCAGGGGATCCAACACCATCTTCTGGCCTCCACAGGCACTGCACACAGGTGGTGCACTTACGTGCAAGCAGGCAGAACACACATAAAGTAAAAAATAAGTTTTTTAAAAAAGGATATAAAGGGGCCAGGTATGGTGGCGCACGCCTTTGATCCTAGCACTTGGGAGGCAGAGGCAGGCAGATCTCTTCAAAATCGAGGTCAGCCTGGTCTACATAGCGAGTTCCAGGCCAGCTGGGGCTACAGGGAGACCCTGTCTCCGTAAGAAAAAAAAAAAAAAAGAATGCCAGTGGTGATCATCTCTAGAGGGACCAGCTCAGAGCCCCAGTAGGAGATGTAAGAGACAATAGGTGTTAGAGAGCTTGATCAGAATAAAGCAACTTCAAGACTCCCTCCAGGGAAGCATGCAAAGGATGGTCACCCTTTGCCCTAATAAACTTTTCAGCTTTAGAGGTACTTAAATTCTTAGGCAGATTTTTGCATCTTTTACATCTACTCTTTTATTTTTATTTTTTAAAATATTTTATTATTTTTACTTTATGTGTATGAGTGTATTGCCTGCATGTATGTGAGTGCACCCGTGTCGTGCAATGTCGCGGAGGTCAGAAGAGGGTCTTGGATTCCTCTGGAACTGGAGTTAAAGATGGTTCATAGCCACCATGTGGGTGCTGGGAATCAACCTGGGTCCCCTGCAAGAGCAGTCAGTGCTCTTAACCGCTGAGCCATCTCTCCAGCCCCTACTTTTTTATTTTTAAACTATTATTTATTTTATGGTATGAGTATTATACCTGCATATGAGTAAGTATCTGTGGTGGCCAGAGAGGGGGTCGGATCCCTTGGAACAGGAATTATGGACTGCTTCCATGTTGTTAGCTAGCAGGAAGACAGTTGCTAGCTGTCGTGTAAGTACCAGGATTTGAACCTGGGTCTTCTGTAAGAACAGGCAGTGCTCTTAACCACTGAGCCATCTCTCCAGCCCCTAACCTACTTTTTAAAAGATTGCATTTTCTGTACATGTGTGAGCATATGCATGCCATGGTTTATGGTGAAGGTCTGAGGACAACGTGCAGGAGTTGGTTCTCTCCTTTCAGCATGTGGGTCACAGGTATCAAAAGCACTGTTAGACTTGGTTGTAGGCCCCTTTACCCACTAAGCAATCTTAGTGGCTCTTATAAGTCCACTTTTTAATTAAAGATTTAGGAGTGTTGAGACAGGGTCTCCCTTTAGCCCCAGCTGGCCTGAAACTTGCTATGTAGACCAGGCTGGCCTTCATCTCCTAGAGATCCACCTGCCTCTGCCTCGCAAGTGCTGGGATTAAAGGCATGGGCCACCATGTCCAGCTAAAGAATTTTTTTGGTCTTTTTTGAGACAGGGTCTCCCTGTAACCCCAGCTGTCCAGGAACTCATGTAGACCAGGCTGGCCTTGAACTCACTGAGATCCACCTGTCTCTGCCTCCCAAGTGCTGGGATTAAAGGTGTGTGCCACCACGCCCAGCCTTAATTTTTTAATTATGTATATGTGTGTGTACATACGAGTGCAGTTTCCCACAGAGTCCTAAAGAGGGTGTTGGATCTCCTGGAGCCTGAATTACAGGTTGTGAGCTTCTTGATTTGGGTTCTGGGAACCAAACTCCTCTGCAAGAGTAATGTATGTTCTTAACTGCTGAGTGATCTTTCCAGGACCATTTTACCATTTTACTAACAAGCTGAATTCTGGGTAAAATGGGATTTATGCCCCCTTTCCTGGGATAACAGGAAATTAGCGTCATGACTCCTGGGACCAGGCTATTGCTGCTCAGCTTGCTCAGCTCTTTTTTGAGACAGGGTTTCCCTGTAACCCCAGCTGACCTGGAACTGGATTGTAGCCCAAATTGGCCTTGAACTCACAGAGATCCACCTGCTTATCCCAAGTGCTGGGATTAAAGGTGTGTACCACCAGGGCTGAAAAGACTCTTGATTTATGAATTTCTTTGTTCTCTATTATTAGAAAAACTTCAGGAAACTGCTTCCACATTGGAACATGGAATTTGGGGTAGCCTGAATCTGTATTCCTAGGCCATGGTCACTCTCTTATCCCCTTTGAGGTGAGAGTTATGCTTTTGCATCGACACAAGCAAAACATACACATGAAAGATAGCGCGTTCTTGATTGCTCTAATTAAACTCTTAACTGCTCACTTGATTAATGTGTGGAGTCTGAAATCTTTTGAGAGAGAGAGCTGGACTCAGGGGTTGAGACCAAAAGGAATTTGAGGCTTCCCTTCAACAGTTGCCCCACTGCAGGCTTTAAAGGCAGCACAATAGCCTACAGGAGGGAGAGGAGACACTGCCTTGATGGGAGCCACATAGTTCCTTCCATTAGGTGAAGCAGCCAGGAAACAGGAGCCAGAGAACATGGAGTTTGGAGAACCAATGAGATTTTCGGCAATTAAATCTTGGAAGAGGGAAGAGAGGAGCTTGACACCAAAGATCCAATGAGAGCCCAGCAAGACTGTGAAGCAGAAAGGTCTAGTGTATGCGGGAACTCACACAGGGATTCCAGTTCCGCAGATGCTGGCTTTAGCAGCTGGGGACTTCTGATCCAAATTCACCTTGCATTCCCAAAGATTCCTAGGATCTGGGGACTCTCTAAGAATTTCCAATGAAAAGAGGTTCAAATGGATATAATAAACGAGTAGCTGTTAGTTCTGTCCGACCCGGGTTCAGAATGAAAGGCTTTTGGATATCCTCTGACTGCCTGCCTGTGACAGATGGAGCAGAAGGAGGAGGACACTACTGATAATATTGAACAAATCCACCATCCATTAGAATCCCTCATGACCATCCCTAGTTGACACCACCCTCCAGTCCTGCCTGAGACCCCTCCTGCTTTTTAATTATTTTAATCACATTCTTGAGCGTGAGGAGGATGTGTATGCATGCATGTCAAGGACAACTTGCAGGAGTCAGTCCTCTCCTTTCACCATGTTGGGCCCTGGGTATCGAACTCAGATCATCAGGCACAGCAGCAGGCAACTTTACACACAGCCATCTTGTCTGCACTGATCTACTTTCTATCTTTATCAGTTTGACTTACTTTTTATAAAATTCCATAGACAAGGGACCACAAGAGGGGAGGAAAAGATGTTAAGGGAGGTGGGAAATAGGGTAGGGGTACATTGTAATAGGTAAACAGATGGGGATACTGAGAGAAGAAACGGTAAAGAAGGGCAGTGGGGCAGGAGAATGAGGCAGAACAAAGTGTAATGATACATATGTGTGAAGATCCCATGATAAAACTCATTACTTTGCAGGCAAAGATTGCTGGGGTTGGAGTGATGGTTCAATGGTTAAGAGCACAGGCGGCTCCTGCAGAGGGCCTAGGTTGGGTTCCCAGCACCCACATGGCAGCTATCCACAACTCCAGTTCCAGGGGAATCTGATGCACTCTTTTGATCTCCACAGGCATTGCATTACACAGGTGCACTTACATACATGCAGGCAATACACTCATACACATAAAAAAATAAATGATATTTTATATATATGAACACTGGCTGCTCCTGCATAGGACCTGGGTTCGATTTTCAGCACCCACGTGGCTGCTCACAACTGTCTGTAACTCCAGTTCCAGGAGATCCAATGCCCTCTTCTGGCCTCCACAGGCATTGCATGTATGTGGTGTACTTACATACATGCAGGCAAAACTCATATACATAAAATAAAAATAATTTTAAAAAAACTAGATTGCTAGGGACTGGAGAGGTGACTCGATGAGTAATAGTACTTGCTACGTAAGTATGAGGACCTCAGTTCAAATCCTGAGCACCTACATAAAGAGCAGGGCATGGCCACACATGCTCCTGTAACCTCAGCACTGTGACAGGGTCTGGAGGCAGGAGGATTGCTATTGCTGTAGCTTTCTGGCCACCAACCCAGCTCCAGGTTCAGGGAGAGACCCTGTCTCAAAGGAGTAAGATGGAGAGACTGATAAAACAAGTTATTCACTGTCTTTCTCCAGCCTCCACACACTTGCACCTGCACACATATGTGCACAAATACGAGAGAGAGAGAGAGAGAGAGAGAGAGACTAGATTGCTTATAATTCCCATCAACCCAGACAATAGAGAGCTGAGGTCTCTGGCTAGGGAGATAGTTCAGGTGGGTAAAGCACTTGCCTTATGAGCTTGAGGACCTGAGTTCAATCCCCAGAACCCATGATATACAATTGCCATCTTGCACTGGGGAGGTGGAGACAAGAGGACCCCTGGGGCCTGCTGGCCAGCACACTAGCCTAATTGATGATCTGCAGGTCAGTGTGAGACCCTGTTTCAAAAAACAAGGTGGGCTGGGCATGGTGGCACACATCTTTAATCCCAG